CCTCAACCTTTTCCTCTCTCTCTCTCTCTCTCTCTCTCTCTCTCTCTCATCTAAATGTTATAAATAGGCATAACAAGTCGTCATAAGCTTGCAAGGGTCACTCTTACAATTGCTAAAGGAGTTTTTTTTTTCTCAATAGATTCTCCTTCCATTGAAGAGGGGGAGAATTAAATGGATATTGAAAGAAGACAGAATATGAAAGGGGAGCCCATGATGGCTGATGAGGTCTCTGTTGATTGGAGAGGCAGACCCTGCGAGCCCAACAAGCATGGAGGCATGAGGGCTGCTGTCTTTGTTTTAGGTCTCTCTCTCTCTCTCTCTCTCTCTCTCTCTCTCTCTCTCTTCCTATTGTTTTTATGGAGTATTTTGGCACATGGATTTAGATATTTTGACTAATCTTGTTTCCTAATCCTTCTTACCTCATTCTTTTGTATTTCTCTCTCTTCTTCCCCAACTCTTTTTATGTATATTTTGTATAATTTCCCCTCTAATTAATTAATAAATTAAGTTCCTAAGCATCTTGTCCCCATTGCATAAAAATGAGTTACAATTTTATTTGTAGTGATCGTGTAGCTTCAATTTCTGCTACTGGAAAGCAAAAAAAAAGTTACCGGCATTTGCATTTCTAAGAATATTTTAGACTTGTAACGATATCCTACCAAACATGCGCGATAAGGTCTGAATATGATTGGAACGTCATCATGAAGTTCTAACTACTTCTAACCAAGTAAGTTTTTATATTACGATGTAATCACACGATGAAGATGGAATCTGTATATACTGGAATTTGTTTGATCAATGATTGTTGATATATATTTTTTTTCAGGGATCCAAGCATTTGAGATCATGGCAATTGCTGCAGTAGGGAACAATCTCATAACATATGTGTTCAATGAGATGCACTTCCCTCTATCAAAAGCTGCCAACATTGTGACAAATTTTGTGGGGACTGTCTTTCTCTTGTCTCTCTTTGGGGGTTTCCTCTCTGATTCTTATCTTGGGAGTTTTTGGACTATGCTCATCTTTGGATTTGTGGAGCTTTCGGTAGGTGCTGCTTCTCTTTCAATTATTTTGCAAATTGATCAATAATTAATGGTTAACAAGAAACCTTTTGCTACCTTAACAATAAAATTGTTCCAAGGGCAAAAAAAAGGAGGGGGAAAAAGAAATTGTTATTTCTTATTTTTGTAGTTTTGTTTACCGTCTCTCCACAATAGAGAGGATTTGGGGGAATAACCCCCCACCCCACCCCAACCAAAAAAAAAACCAACTATAATCAGAGAATTAGATAATGAAAAGATGTTACCAACTTCTAATCAAATCTCTCTTATTATAATCCAAAGTAATACAACTTTTAGGAAACAGTAACCCAACCACAGAACTAAACATGCTATATAAAACTAACCACCTCTCAATATAGGAAAACCTAAGGTTCTTGCCCCCTGCAAAAAGAAAGTTTTTCCATTAAAAAAATACAAATTGACTTCAACCCACTTTAAGAAAAAGGGGGGGAAAAATCATTCTTTTGGTTGGAAAAAAGGCCTGAGCCTGTGATTTATTGTTAATAAAAAATTAACTATATATTTGCATAGATGAGAAAACATTGAGAAAAAGAAATTAGGATGAACTAAA